GGAACGGCAGGTGACTGGATTGTAATTGTCTCCATGAGAAGCCTCCCCACCATGGGGCTCAGTTCAAGGGCTTTCCTCTCAGGCACAATCCAGTGCAAGTTTAGGCAAAAAAAAAGACTTGCACCCACCTATCAGCATTCCCCAGCCAGCCACAGGCCTTCTCTCCAAACCTGCAAGGTTTGCACCTGTAATGTATAAGCTCACCACTCTACAAAATCAGGCTCAAGGAATAGCAACAGGCAGATAAAATGCCACATCGTAATTAAAAACACAAAGGCCAGACCATTAAAAATACAAAGAAATAAACAGCACCTAACAGTTAATACCTGATTAAAAGTCAAACCCTATAGAAAAACTCTGCCTTGCCTGGCAGTGGAAGGGCAGTAATGAGGACCCTGATGGTGGTATTGCGATCTTGACATGAAACATACCGAGGCCTTTCCTGCTACTTTTTTTATAGGAAAATTTTTGAGCAACAAAACGGGGCAGAACTGCTCAAAACCAGGTAATGTGATTTCTTCAACAACCCAGACTATCCACTTTAATTAAAACAGGGGCATCTCTGCTTCACTTTGAGAAAGCAGCATCCCCAGGCTGGGAAAACAACTTGGATCTGCAAGGCAGCAGGAAAGCAACTGCCTCCATATTGGAAAGGCTGATGGGAACTGTAATCCAGCAATCCTGGGAGCCTCACCCATGCAGTAAAAAGAATTTACTCTGATTCCAAAAAATAAAAAAAAGTAGAAAACCGGGCATTTCATACTTGTTCCTGGCCTAAGCTGTGTTGATGAAAGAAGGGAAACTCTGACTTATCCATAGAGAGTTTTGTCATACAGAAAGGAAAAATATAGATTTTCAATTGACGCAGCATGTTGCAACACCTCATAAGCCTTGGCTGGCCAATATACTGTATACATGTCCAATTTCTTTTGCTAAATACGGCGTGGGAGTACTATAGAAGTACTTTAAGGAATAACCCTATGCCGACTGAGATGGGGAAAAAGCTCTGCAAATCCCAGAGTGCCTGAGCCAGGCCTTTTTTCTGTCTAAATGTGTGCAGGATTGTGGCCTTAGATGAGAAATCCCTGGACAATTCATGGAAGCAAATGCCAGTGATCCAAAGCAAACTCACTTCCATGGGTTTAGGAGCAAAGATTTTGTTTGTTTGCTTCTTAGCCATCTGATTCTGTGTATTGCAAGGACCAGCCACTTCCTCGATTCTGCCAGAGAGGGGGGGAACACAAGCCCAGAATCCCGAAGCCTGCAAGCTGCGCATGATTCTCACCAAAAATGAGTTTGATGGGAGGTGCGATTTACTTGCTCACCTCCATATGTCCGACTCTGAGCTTTTTGATGGGCTGGAAAGAGGGGCACGAAGTTAACATCTTAGCAGCAGCAGTCTCTGAATCTCAGCATTTCACGGACTAGCAATGCTTTCCAGAGATGTGTGTGACTCCGTTGTTAATCTGTCATCTTTAAAAAATGCTCAGGTGGGAAAAAGCAGATTTTCTTTTTTGTGCTGTGACCTTCCTTGCGGTCACTTAAAGCACCAGAAATCCAGAAGAACCCCCAACCTGTAACCACAACAACCCAGTTTTGAGTTCTGCCTCTTAATGTCGCCCTTTCCCACTGTCTGCCAATGACTGGATTGTTCCTAACTTGGTGTCCCTCAAATATGTTGGACTACTACACCCTGAGGATGATGAGAATTGTAGTCTTGGATCTGGAGGGCACCAAACTAGGGGAGACTGCCATAACTCTTCTGGGTATAGTCCTCGTATCCATGCACCTGCCCAGGGCATGCAGTTAGTGCAAAATAATTGTTAAGAAAAGAGTGACATTAGTCACAATGACACTACGGGTGATCCCAAGAATCGTGGTGCTCTCCAGATGTTTTGCACATCAGCTTCCATAAGCCTCAGGCAGCATGGCCAAAGGCCAGGAATCTCAAGAAGCACACCCTGCAACATGGAAAACCAAACTGCAAGGAATTTCATCCATAGGCATTGCTGGGTGTTGGCTACTCGCTTGGAGCTGGAGGGTCGGCACAGAAAGGTTTGCTACCCAGAAACCATTCTGGGTATGGAGAGGCCATGGATACCTGCTTTGGGGGAAAGTTGCTACTCCAATTTTCTCTCTTACCCCAAATTGTCTGGAAAGAAAAATGGCAAAACCGATCTCCATCTCCAGCGCTCATTCCCAACAAGGAAAGAGATCATACAGAAGGCAGCAACGAACTGGAACACACGACACCACAAGGTCATATCTAGAGTAACCTGCCAGCAGCTCCTCAGTGCTCCTTTTCCCAGCAGTGAGTGCAGGATTGGGCCTGAATCCCAAAGCACTAGAAAGCTGGCCCCAGTGCCTGACGATACACACTGACACACGCTTAACGCTGGAGGATTTTGAGGCACACCCCCCAAAAAGCAGCTGCACATGTACACAGCTCCAGAGGAGCAGTGGCGCCAACTCTCTCACAGCCAAGACCTTCGTGCTACCTATGGCAGATTTAACGCGATGTACACTTCGGGGGGAAGAAAGCCAGAGAGGAACAGCCATTAAGAGTATCAGACTGGGACTCGGGAGATCTGGGCTCTAGTCCCAGCTCAGCCATGAAGCTTACGGGGTGCCTTTGACCCAGTCACTCACTCCCAGCCTAGCCTAGCCTACCCCACAGGGTTGTTGTGAGGATAACATGAAGTGCAGGAGACTATGGAAACCACTTTGGGTTCCTTGCAAGAAAGCAGATCAGGTATAAAGGTCCAAGAAATGGACTTTGCAGTGTGTTACCACCTGTTAACATTTAAATTATATTTGAACTGGAGGGAAGGTGTGACTCTGCTCTTTTATTTCTTTATTTGTGCGTGTATTTATAGGCTGCCCGTAACTGTCAGGCCTTCCTAGGCGGCTTCCAGTGCATACAAGGAGGTTTTGCACTGAAAGAACTCTCACCTACTGCGTCCTTACTCTTCATGGCTTTCTGGCCCACGGATTTCTCGCTGCTCACCTCCTGCAGCCCCCCCAGAGCTGCCAACCAAGAAGATGCTTGGTGAGACTGATGCGGCCTGCCAGATGTGCCGGACCCCCAAGAAGCAGTGCTGCATTGGCCATGCTGGCTGGGAAGGACGTGAGTTGACGTCCAACACATCTGGACAGGGCAACGGGTGCGGGGGAAGGCCTCTCTAGTAGGCAAGCGCCTACGGCACGACGGATCTGTTGCTGCCAGAAGGCCTTCCGCTCTCCGGACAAGCGCCCAGAAGCGCCCACCAAAGCCCAGCGGCATTCCAAGCAGAGCATGGCAGAAGCGGCAGGGAGAGGAAGCCGCCTTCTTCCGTGCAGTGAGCCGCAGGAGGAGAAAGAACGGCTCTGGCTCCCAGCAGCCAGTGAGACGCAGGAATCCCGGGTCCCCTGAACGCAGCTTCTGTACGCCTCTGCCTCCTGGCACTGCCTGTAAACAGGCGGCACCCGCACACATGCCCCACTTCGCCCCATCTTCCCAGGAGAAACAGACTTAAAATGTTAACAGGTGGCAACATGCAGCGAAGTCCATTTCTTGGATCAACGCAGACGGTACCCGCCGCTGGCCTCAGGCAACCAGGAGGGCAGAGAGGCAGGCAAGGAAGAAGCACACCTGTGAGGGAATGTGATGGGGAGGGCCTCCCGGGCTCCAGCTAAATAGGCAGGATCACGTCTTCCTACCCTGGGATTAGTTAATCCAGAAGAACACCCTCCCACTCGCCCTCTTGATAACTGCAAACTGGGACCACCTTACAGCTTGACAGACACTGTGGGGGGTAGCTTTCCTCTAATCTGGCACGCACGCACACCCCCCCCAGGACAGCTGGACTACAACCACCACCATCCTCATCCAGTGGCAGGTGGGGATGATGGGTGATGTGGTCTGACCCTCCTGGAGGGCAGCCAGCTTGGGGGATGGTCCTGCTGCTGCACAAAGGTACCTATGCAAGAAGCAGCTGCAAAGCCCTTTCTGCAAGGAGTTTACAATCTAGGTTTGATCACTGAAGAGAGGCGGCACCCAGACGAGACCCCTCTCAGCAAAAGGCCGTTCTGGCCGGTTTTCACAGAGTTAATGTTTAACCCTGAAGCCAAAGGGCTGCAGTGGGCATCGCTTCCCCTCCTCACTCGGGAGGGGTTCCGCTCAAAAATCAAAGAATTCTGCCTCTGAATGTTTCACAAGCAATCTTGGGGACTGATCCACAAGGGCAGGTTGGGCACTGCTCAAAAGTGTCTCCGAACATGCGAGGAGTGCCTTCCCTTCTCTCCAAAAACCACAAGCCCGGCAGCTGTAAGCCAAGCGGAGGAAAAGCCAAGCGGGCAAGGAGCCAAGCCAAGGAATCCAGCCCAGCGCCCTCCGGCTTTGGAAACAGTCCGCGTGCAAAAAGCACCAGAAACACTTTCTCGGCACGCGAACCACAAATCCCGCGAGCCGGAATCGCATCTGGCGCCCCCGACCGCTGCCAAGGTCCCGCCATGCCTTCCCCAACCTGCTGGCGCTCCAGACGATTTGGGCTGCGACTCCCATCAGCCCCGGCCAAGGGACCCCCCGGCCAGGTGGCCATTGTAATGCAGAATTCGGGGAGGGGGAGGCTAGGTTGGGAAAGGCAGGGTCAGGCGGGGCGCCCCCCCTCCCCGGCCCGCTTTTACGCAGACCTGCACCCACGCTTGGCCCGGAGCGGGCATCTTGTCGCCGCCCCGCCGCCGCAGGCTTGCGCACGATCGCCGCCGAGCCCCTCGCACCGCCACGGGGTGCGAGCCAGCGAGGGAGGAGGGAGCGAGCGAGCGCGCCCGCCCGGGGCTGCTGGCTCCGGAGGCCCCAGAGCCGCCCTCGCTCGCTGCACCTCCAGGCACCAGACGCCGGGGGCGATGGAGAGAACCTGGCGCTGCTGGAAAGTTTGCCAGCTTTCTCCCCCGCGTTCCTCCTCTCTCTCTCCCCCCGCTCTCGCCGCCCCCACGGCTAAAATTTCCCGGGGAAGGACTAGATGGAAATGGGGGGGTCCCGCAGCCTCGGTCCCCTCGCCGCCCCCTCCCTGGCGGCCCAGGAGCTCTCCGCGCCGACGGCGGAAAGTTGGGGGAAAGTTTGCCCAGCCGCGGCCGGCCGAGCGCCGCCGCGCCTCCCGCGCCAAGGCGAAGCAGCCCGACTTACCGCGCTGGCTCGGCCCCCGCCGAGTGGGGGGCGCGGGCGGCCCCTCCGCCGCCTCGACAGCTCCGGCCGGGCGCGCGGCGCAGCGGCCGGGAGGAGGACGCGGCGCAGCCCGCGGGAGACAATGGGCGGGCGGGCGCCCTCTTCGCTTTCCAGCCCGGGCTCCGCGCAGCCCAGCGAAGGCGCGGCCGCGCTCGAGGGAAGGCGGGCGGCGGCGGCGGCGGCGCGGGAGAGGCGCTCGCAGTGCCGGCGCTCGGGCGCGCTCTCGCTCCGGCAGCCGGTGCCCGCGGCCAGTCGTTCCCCGGCGCAGAGCCGAGAGCGGCCCCAGCCAGCGAGCGAGGCAGGCGGAGAGAGCCCCTCCCACCGGCCCGGCCGGCCCCTCCCCTCCCCGCCGCGCTCGCCTCGCCTCTGCGCCGCGCTCGCCGCCGCCCCGCCCGCCCGCGCGGCCGCCCGCGTCCCCGGCTCGCCGCTGCTGCTGCCTCCTGCGCGCTCTCCCGCGCCGCAGTGCTGGCGCGCTCCTCCGCCGGCGCCGGGAAGGGGGACCCGCGCCGCGCTCGCCCGGGCCCTGGCCGGGCCGGGCGCCCTCTCCCCGCCGGGCTGCAGTGGGGAGGGGGCGCCCCGACACTCTCCCCCCGTAAGTTCCCTCTCACCACCGAAGATCAATAGCACAGCTCGCGAGTTTGTCCTTAAAAGGCGCGCAAAGCTTAGGCTGCCCACGGGCCCGCCTCTCTCCATGGGGAGCCCGTTGCCGGTTTACCGGGAGCATCCTGCGTGGATTCCACGGATCGTGAAACGGATCGCCCCACAGCTCTGACCCCTGGACGCGTGAAGTTCTCAGAAGTGAAACGCGCCCTGTAAGGGAACGACGGGACTTAATATTTTCCCACTCCCAGATTGTAGGTTTCTCGGGGCAGGGACCTGCCTTATTGTAAAGCACCATGGGTACAGATGAAGGCGATGGCCAACTATCACGGTGGTCTCTAGCTTGGTGCCCTATACATGTGAGGCAGCAACTCCCATCAGCTCCAGCTGGGATGATGGGAGTTGTAATCCTATCCACCTAGACTGTCTCAGGCTGGGGAAAGTGCATCCTTGTTGCCCAGTCCTTTACATGTTTATGGAAGGGGGTATTGTTTTTAAATACAGAATGAGTAATGTAGCAAGGTTAGTTTACACAGTGAAGTTGGGACATGATCCTGGGCCAGTTTAGAGAAAAGGGGGCTCTGGGAATTCCTAGTATTCATCTAGGAAATGATGGGAGTTGTAAGACTTGCTTTCCCATCCAAACAGGCATATGTTTGCATCCATCGTTGACTGACGGAGGTCCCTTTTTCACTGCTTCTGTTGTGAAGTACATCACCTGCACCCTTTGCCCTGCATTCCTGATGTGCTCGAACTAAAACTGTGTGCCAACCTTGGTTTAAAAACAGAACTTCTGAGCATGTGCAGTGTTGCATTTTAAACTCCCCCAAAACATAGCAAAACAATTTCCCTCGGCATTTGCACTGTACTTACTTCTGCACTCTGAATGGTCCTTTACACCCTGTTGGCCTCTGTGGTCCCAAACTTCGGCTCTGGGCTCCAAGCCGCCCACATGGAGCTGGCATCCCAGGAGGCTTGCAGTCCTGTCCAGGTGTCCCTAAAAGGACGCACTCACTGAAGTCAGAGCTGGGGAGGGGGGGCAGAATTGCTCCAAAGGAGTGTAGAGTAAGCAGCTGCTTTTGCTTTTTTCCATCCCACCTCTCCTAAACTCAAAATGGGTTGCAACATGCTGTTGAAGATCTCTCTCTTAATCCCAGCTGTATGGGGGGGGGGGGGGGGGGGGGGGTGGATGGCGCTCAGCATATGCAGAAAGGCAGGTCCTTTATGGTTGTTCTTCCAGGACTTGCCCTTCAGCACTGAGAAGGCAGCTAGGCTTCCTTGTGCCCTGCAGATCAGTCCTAAAATGATGCATGTTTAGCAAGACCATTTCTCTTCTCGGGATGTGCTGAATGGCCAGGTAAGTCCATTTCAACACTCCTTCTAAGGTTGTTACCTGCGAATGGATGGAAGAGGGAAAGGATGGAAAGTTCCTGTCCTTTTATGTCCACCCAACAGGCCAAACTATAACAGGTGAAGCAATTCTATCAGTTGCAGTTCCCAGCTAGTCCAGTGTGATTTCTGCCTGTTGAGTGGCTGTTGGAAGAAAACACTGCGAAGGAAGAGGAGGACCATCTTTCCTATTTTTTTATGGAATGCCAACTCGTTCCCCAGTAGGAATTCCCTACAGGATGAATCCCCAACTTGCATCTATTTCACGTCATCCTTGGCTGGTGTTTTGGAGGAGGCCCTCTCAAAAGCACTTTCTGAGCCAGTACTGCAATTTCTTTTGGCACAGGCTGTTTCCTTTTATTCCCTTAAAAAAAAATCAATGGACATAAATCAGCATCTCTGTAACAACTGGTCCCAATCCGTCCAGTCCTAAATTATGTCATACTTAATACGAAGGCATTGAAGCATCGCTCTATGGAGGAATCCTTGTGGGAAATGTCATGCAGAAGGAACGCTGTTCCAAACTCCACGGCCACTTTTTGGCATAATTAAGAGCAGCAGAACTGGGTTGCCAGGTCAAGACCCAGAGAGCCACATTGCCACGTTTATTTGTGTGTTGCTTTCCCATGGTAGAAGCCTGCTTATAGCAACATCAGAGGGGTGCCCAATGACATACAGAGGCATTTCTAAATAAACAATAACACATCCTAAAGTTTAAATAGTCTTACAAGTGCATCTCACATCCATAAATACACACTAGGATTTGATAATTGTACCAAAGATGGATAAACAAAAAATAAACATTCATAGTCGTACTTGGTTAGTCAAGGATTTGTGGTCCTAGCCTAGAATGGAATGGAATGCCCCCAAGAAGCAGGGTGAGAGTTTTGCAGGATACTTCCAAAGCCACCAATGAAGCAGAAAACTAGGCAAGTGAGAAGTCTCCCACTTACCCTGTACGGAACAGGAACAATCAATCAATCAATCAATCAAACAAGGGGAAACAACTGAGACTCTGCAGCTGCCCCTTCTCCTGTTTCATTCATGGATTTAAAGGCGTAACTTGGATTTCCTGATTGGGATTTGGCAATCCCCTGCAGAATGTGCGTGTTCTGGTCAGCACTGGCTTGTTTCAGTAAGGCATACAGGAACTCTGGGGCAGAGTGTGCCACAGGTTGGTTAGGGAGAAGGGAGTGCAATTTGAGTTTTTGCCAACAGGCAGCAAAATTGGGTTGGAGCTGCCAAACCAATTCTCTAGCTGGCTGTCACTGAGCAGAAGAATTGTGGGCATGTTAGCTGGAACCTTCACAAGACAATACAAAATCAACACTCGGAGGTCAATGTATTTAAATCTGGGATTTGAAGGTATTAAAATGAAGTATCTGTGCATATTTTTCAGTTATTAGAATTATTATTTTATGCTCACACACTGGAAGGTGAGAACACTTTTATTTGTGCATTTAGACAGAAAATTGGTGGAACATTTTCCTCGCCAGCCCTAGAAGTGCAAGCTTGAGATACGAGATGTACGTGTGCCAGTGACTGGAGTGGGTCTTCCAGCAGGGATGGGTCAAAAATACATCTGGGCAGCAAACGTACCCAGTTTGCATTTCTCAGAACGCTTTTTCAGACACAGGCTACATTGGAGCACCCAAATTTGCAGTTCTTAGAATTTTGCAAGGCACTCTATAACTCAAAAGCAAGAAATACAAAAACCTGTTTATTAAGGAAAAATGTACATAAAATGCATTATATTATAGGAAAATCAGTTACTCAAGAGCATACTTCCTCTCCCACACACTTATAAATGTGCTTACAAAAATGTGTATTGTTGAAATGGTCACAAAAAAGTGCACACTGTTTATGTGGCCTTTGTTTTCTTTTTGATGGATTTGCAAACCAACATAGAAATGGCTGAAGTGAATTCATAGGTGGGAGAAACTGAACCAAACAAACACTGGTTTGCCCAATCTTATCTAGCAGTTGGTCCTTCTCTCCAATGACCTCTGGGAACTGTCTGTCTTAGCCATCTCTGACAGAATTCTTCTCTCTTCCAGGGAGCTAGAATTCCCAGAATCGTTTGAGGGAAAGGCATGCAAGTCAAACTGAATTCAACCATAGTTAATTTTGTATAGAATGGAAAGAACAAGATTGCACAGACGGCCTAGGCGGAATGGAGGGCAGGAATCCTATATCTTTATAATGGTTCTGCAGATTAAGAAATTCTGCTGGTGCAGCAGTGGGTATATTAAATTCATCCACTCTTTCATTCCTGGGTGAAACCTAGATGCATCCAAAAATGCATGTATTTGGAGAAATTATGCCCTAAAATGCAGAGGTAAGGGAAAGCTGCATATGAAAAGAAATGTAAATTTCCAAGCTATTTTGCATTCACAGAAGGATGCAGAAATCGGACTGAAGGAATGCATGTGAAAGTACCATGGAGTGTAGACAGACCAATTCATGCGACAGTCTTTGACCCATGAATTACCCGTGTACCCAGGCCAACACTGGGTGACCTTGGCATTGCTTGAGAGATGGCATGGTTTCGTAGAATATGCTCCTCAAATCCGTTTTAGAGAAAGCACCGTGTCTTTCGGCAAGGCTGGGAGTGCTCCTTCCCTTGTTCATACCTAATCTATGGAGAGCCAGTGTGGTGTAGTGGTTAAAAGCATGGAACTGGGACTCAGAGGATCTGGGTTCGAGTCCCCGCTCAGCCATGGAGCCCACTGGGTGACTTCGGGCCAGTCACAGACTCTCAGCCCAACCTACCTCACAGGGTTGTTGTGGGGATAAGATGGAGTAGGAGATGTAAGCTGCCTTGAGCCCTTTGTAGGAAAAAGGCAGGATATAAATCACAATATAAAATCACAATATAAATAAATAAATAATCTAAGGATGGCCTTTTCATGATGCAGTGGAAGCACTCCTCCCTGGCCGGGTCCCTTCTCGTTCTTTCTTATCTAGGACCAGTTCTCTTCCTGCTGCGCACACACGTTTTCTCCTTAACCCTGTATTTGTACATCATCGTCTCTAGCACAAGCCCATATTTGCTGTATTTTGGTTGTGTGTGTAAATAATAACAACAACAACAACAACAACTATTATTATAGGCTTTTCCTTTACTTAGTTTCCAAGAAATTTTGCAGTGTGGTACTAGCTAATTCTGAATGTGAGCTTCCTGGCCTTATGGGGTGTAGAGGATCCTTAAAAGCATCATGTATTGTTACATGATGTTTATGCCACCTTTTTCCCTCTTGCAAGGAACCCAAGGTGGCTCACAGGAGCCTTCCACTCCTCCCTCTTATATCTTCACAACAATCCTGTAAGGTGGGTTAGGCTGAAAGTCCATGAGTGCCCCTAAGTTGGCAAGCGTCATGGTGCATAGGGACTAGAATATGGATCTCTGGAGTCCCAGTCCTGCACTTTAACCACTAGACCACACTGCCTTTCTTGTATAGCCTGAAGTGACTGATCTTGCCTACTTGTGGAAGCTAAGCAGGCTCAGGCCTGGTTGAAATCTGGATGGGTGACTTATGTTGTGAAAACGTGATGATGATGATGATGATGATGATGTAGCACTTCAAAAGATGAAGAGGCAGCCCAACTGCATTGTGGGGCCCTCATCTTTCCGTGAAGGGGTCCCCTGAACAGTGGCCCTTGAGGCTTGTGCACTGGAAATGTGCTGCGCTGAAGCTTCAGGGGCTGCTTTTAAAACTTGTAACCCCTTTGCTTGACAGGTAACCCGCATGGTGAGAAGTAAACCTGGATGAATTAACTTGC